ATGTCAGTTTCTCCCATGTGTTCCCATTATCCTCAATCATTATGTGAGCATGCTACTGTCATCATGTTTGCGTTAAAACAGCAATTATTTCAGATCAGTGTTTTCCAGTTTCTCTGTGCTAGTGGCAGGGTCTCCTGTCTGTGTGGAGTGTAGTCCAGTCAGTATGTTATGTCTACAGAGGGCCTGAGCAGGCTGTCTGACCCCTAAAGAGCCCTGGTGCTTTAGGGGATCACCACGGGTCCCGGCCTCTCTCTCCTGCCAGCCCAGGGGGTGGGGGTGATTCTGGGTGTACGGGGCACCCTGTGACCCTCAGCCTGGGTCGGGTGTCAGGGGCTCGCCCTCTAGGGAACACAACCTGACCCCCTGTCTCGTTTCACATGGGGCTCCACTCCAAGGCCACGTTCAGTGCCACCACACTGCCCAGACTGCGTGTGTGTGTGTGTGTGTGTGTATGTGTGTGTTTGTGTGTGTTTGAGAGAGGGAGAGAGAGATAAAGAGGGCCGTTAATGGGAGACCAAGGCTGAGCGGTGTGAGCGCAGTGGGACTAATTCCACTTTAGTTCAAGTCTAGGGGTAAATACATTGGGAATGAGTCAATGCTGGCGAGCCAAAGTGTGACTAATTGCACAGGGTCAATAACTCCGGGGCTGATTCTGGCTGGTTTCAGACCCAAAAACACCCCAGATGTGCTGGTGTGAGCAGGGGAGGGCAGGCCTCTGTGTCTGGAACAAAACAGTCGAGATGAATCAATCATCGGCTCAACATTCTGTTCTGGCTCTATTGTTCAAAAGCCCACTAAAAAGGATTGGTCGGCGACTCTGGGTGAAGCCGAGTGGACTAAGGAACTATATGAAGAGAGCTACAACAGAAATACCAGCTTTTTCCTGATGGAGGCCAGGGCTCAGGCAGGTCTGTGGGGGCAAATGCTATTCAACCACAGGTGGTTGCTGCCATTTCAGCCAAGTGCTTATCAAAAAATACTGTGTTCCTTCACAAAAAAACAAGGCCAAAATAAGAAAATGCCAACTGCTCTACTGGGCCCGTAAAAAAAGCTAAATCATTGTGAACATTTTCCATGCAAGCTCCACACAGGTATGATCTGACACGGCTTATCGAATCACAATAGCCTGCTCTGATAGAAAAAAAAGGACATCTGCTTTGTTTGTTCCACCAAGAGAAGAATAATGTTCAGTGCTGTTGTACCCTGGCTGAATAAAGCCTCCCCCTCTCCTCTTCTACATTTTAGTAATTTATCCAGAGCGACTTACAGGAGCAATTAGGGTTAAGTGCATTGCTCAAGGGATTTTTCACCTAGTCAGCTTGGGAATTCAAACCAGCAACCTTTCGATTACTGGCCCAATGCTCTTAACCGCTAGGCTACCTGCCGTCCCCTGCTGCTTTTCCCCCTCCCCCTCACCGACAGTCTGATAGCGGCTAAGGAGAGAGCGATAGGGGCTAGGGAGGGAGCGTGGCACAGCCCCTCATTATCACTCCCCAGCCCAAACAGTGGCGTGTCGCTTGGCTAAGCTACATTTCCTCTCCAGCCAACCCAGCATCTGTTTGTGCGTGCTACTGTCCTCTGATCCCTGGCTCTCTGACACCCTGCTCGGCCAATTGTTATTTACTCACCCAGGGCAAAGAACCCCAAGGGGGAGGGGGGAGGAGGAAAGAGGGGAGAATGACTAGCCTCTCTCTTCAAAGTAGGCCGCTGATAGAGAAAGTGTGTGTGTGTGCGTTAGGATGTAGTGTGTGGGAGTGGGGGGGGGGGGGGGGGGTAGTGTGATGACAAAATGCATCCTGGACCAACACCTCTATTGTTTGTGTGATTAGTGGAGGCAGAAAGCCAGGTGTACCAGTGTGAGTACCAGTGTGTAGTACCCCCACTGTACCAGAACAAGGCCTCATCATGAATGGCATCATTACCTAACAAGTTGAATGATTAAATATCATTAAATATTCTACAAATCTAAAAGTTAATATTCTATCATTCCCATTGCATCCCAATCCCAAAAGGAGTTTACAGCGACTGTATATTACCGTGGGTTTTGTTCTGTTCTGATGTAAACGACCAGGGCCAGATAGGGCCGTAGAGGAGAGGTTAGGGACAGGGATCCAGGAGCAGAGAGTGAACAACAGTAGCGGTGGGGAGTGGGCCTCCCTGCTGGGTTGATTATTGGAGTGCTGTAAATAGGCCTGCCCACTGCCTAGAGAGAGAGAGCACATCTGGGTCTCAGCTCAGCACTGCTCACCTGGGCATCTGCACTGGTTGGAACACACTTTAGAAGGAGGAGGCAGCAGCAGAACAAACATAATTTACGGTTCAGTAAAAAGATTGTACAGAATGTATCATAACCAGAGCCTGAAAACAGAGAGGTAGGCGTACACCTTCGGTATATGTTTACCAGCAATATTTAAATCAGGAAAAGCGAGACAGAGACCATATGCCTTTTGCTCTGTTGTGCTTGATAGTCAACCAGCCACAGATGTTACAGCTTCTCCTGCAAATGTGTAAATAAACACCTTGGGCACAGGAACCAAACAATCCCACATGCAGCAGGCCTATACTGCAAAAGTATATACAAAAGTTAGTATTTTTTATCTGCACAGGCACAATGTTTGTGGCTTTGGTGGTCTTTGTTCATCACCAGACATAGAACTCCATGGTCGACCCATGTCTGTCTATCTGTTGACCATAGTAGAGACTATATAAAATAAGACAATTTAACTGACTTTTAGGAGCAGCAATACTCTGATCTCTTGATTAATACATTGTTCCATCACCAACACTCCTTATGGATAGCTGATAGTTTCCCTGTGAGGGCCTCATGCTGAGGAAATTAAGTTGTGAATGAATAGATGATCAGATAATTTGTTTTTAATTAACAGAGCCTTGTGCTGTGTGGAACAGGCAAAGCTTTGGCTCATGGATTTGAGCTGTTAACATGTTTCTGCCATTGGATTCGTTCTTTGAAACACAGCACCATCTGCTGGTGAAAAGGGAGCAGTTGAAATCAGAGAAAGTGAGGTTAGGTTTTAAGAAATCGGCAAAACTAGGATCAACTAGAAACATGTTGCAGACAGGAGAGGACATTAATATTCTTCTCTCTTCCACCTAGTCCTAGAATGAATAACAGACTGAGCACTGAACAAAGGACAAGACAACTTGGTCCATTCGAAATAAATGAAGACTACGATAGGCATGTTTTACAATAAAAGTACACTGAACAAAAATAAAAACGCAACATGCAACAATTAACGATTTTTCTGAGTTAGAGTTCATATAAGGAAATCAGCAAATTGAAATAAATTAATTAGGCCCTAATCTATGGATTTCACATGACTGGGCAGGGGCACAGCCATGGGTGTACCTGGGAGGGCATTGGCCCACCCACAGGGGAGCCAGGCCCAGCCAATCAGAATGAGCTTTTCCCCACAAAAGGGCTTTATTAGACAGAAATACACCTCAGTTTCATCAGCTGTTCAGGTGGCTGGTCTCAAGACGATCCCATAGGTGAAGAAGCAGGATGTGGAGGTCCTGGGCTGGCATGGTTAGTCATGGTCTGCGGTTGAGGCCAGTTGGACGTATTGCCAAATTCTCTAAAACGACATTGGAGGCAGCTTATGGTAGAGAAATTAACATTACATTCTCTGGCAATAGCGCTGGTGGACATTCCTGCAGTCAGCATGCCAACTGCACGCTCCCTCAAAACTTGAGACATTTTATAGTGGCCTTTTATTGTCCCCAGGATAAGGTGCACCTGTGTAATGATCATGCTGTTTAATCAGCTTCTTGATATGCCACACCTGTCAGGTGGGTGGATTATCTTGGCAAATGAGAAATGCTCACTAACAGGATTGTAAACACATTTGTGCACAACATTTTAGAGAAATAAGCTTTTTGTGCGTATGGAACATTTCTGGGATCTTATATTTAAGTCATGAAACACGGGACCAACACTTTACATGTTGAATTTATATTTTTGTTCAGTATAGGTCCACTTTGCTTTCGGCAACAGCTGAACAGGCTCATGGTTTTGACAGGTATAATGCTCTTTGACATTCAAAGGTCCAATTCCACTAAAATAGATTAAAACTAAGTAGTAGTATTTTTAGAGTGACGATTCCAAGTTCAAGATTTGACTGAAATACACAATGCAGAGAAACATGAAACGGCCCCTAAACTGCAAAGATCACTCATGGTCCACTGCAGGTGTTCACGTGTGATTTCAGAAAGCTTGCATAGAGTGATGCTCATGGTGCCCCATGGCAGATGTGGGTAAATACTAGAAATGATACAAGCATTTCACTACACACGCAATAACATCTACCAAAAATGTGTATGTGACCAATACATTAGAATTGATGCTGAAGTTCATTGGGTTTTCATTTGGTGGCTTTAGTTCTGAAATACCATTTAAAAACATAATTGTAGAAAAAGCATGTAGAGGTCAAGTACTCATTGAGGTGCAACAATCTAGGGCTGTAAAGCCAAATGATTAATAATCTGTAATGTATTGGTGCTCTGCAAAGCTGTTGAGCAGGAGAAATTCAACTGAAGCTAGCATAACATACACCTGCTATAATGTTTCATCACATTTGAGCCATTCCAACAACCCATGTCTAGCCTACCAATTAATGTAATTTGGGTGAAAGACATACAAAATGTACAATGTGAACCCAGAGGATAGCTCTTAACTATTAAAAAGGTAGACTCAAAATGGCATTGCCACGAGCAGCACCAGACATTGAGCGAGATGCAAGATCGCCCGCATAGGTTACCATCTGCACGGGTTCGCTTCATGCCGTTCACAGCGTGGTAGCCATGGTACCAAAACAGCTGAGAAGTTGAGCCTCACGCTTCAACGCCTTGATGCTGTTTACTTTCTGCATCTACGTCCTACCGCAGTCTACCTTTAAAACACTTGTTTCCAAAGTAGTCCTTGATGGTAATTAAATGAAACTATTACATCAAGCAGGTTTAAAGAAACGACAGAACAGAAATATTTTCTCCCTCAATTTTATTACACAAAAATGTACAGAGAGATTAACGGTAAGACTTCTGGTAGCGGGCACGGGCTCCAGGTCCACCGAACTTCTTGGACTCGCAGCGACGAGGGTCGGCAACCAGCAGGGTCCTATCGTACTGGATCAGGATGTCCTTTATCTCCTTCTTGGAGGCCTCATCCACATCTGGAGGGGAAAAAACATGTCAGGTTAGTTATTGTGAACCATTTTCTTGACCAAATGGAAATGCAATCAATCATACACCCGTCATCATCCAAAAGGTTTCTCCCTTTTGGATGATGACGGGTGTATGATTGATTGCATTTCCATTTGGTCATGAAAATGGTTCACAATAACTAACCTGACATGGCAATATTGCCTCCTGCAAAAACGAGTCCAAAGTAACACTAAAAAATATTGTTGTCAGCGGAGGCAATATTCTATTGAAAACAAGATTCTGCATGTGTTCACAGTAAAATGATTGACTCTTACATTTCTGGTAGTATGCGACCAGGGCTTTGGAGATGGACTGACGGATAGCTGCAAGGAGAAGACGACACAGGGTAAGACAAACGGACATTCTGTCAAGTACAGTTCATCAGTTTCTACTGGAATGACTTGGTTAAATGTAAATAAGTGGAGCAGCTTCCAGTTGTAAAAATAATAATTTACCGTAGATCTGTGCGACATGTCCACCACCCTTCACTCGGACTCTGATGTCAACTCCGGCAAATCGCTCCTTGCCCAGCAACAGCACTGGCTCCAACAGCTACAACAGACAGAAACTTTGTCAAGGACGCATATATCCTGCAGACACATGCATCAAGTAAACACAGACATTTAGCTAATTAAGACCCATGTTGAACTTGGGCTTAGTAAACTGATAGCAGTTCAGTAAGAAGCCATGTTACACATGAAATAGTTAGCAACAGTTTCCTAAGGGACAGGTTGAAATTTACTGGAGGGGGGCTGGTCCAACTCGAGGCATCATAAAATGCACCACCCTCCCCAGCACAAAAAATATTTCACATGCCCCCCCCCTTGACAGCAAAATAAATGGAACACCCCCCCACTCAGAATTAACTCAAAATAATGTTTAGGACCACAAACAATTGCAACCCTGTGTTTATAAACGTGGATATCGACTTTGCCACTTCAGCATGGTTTTGTTGCAGTCGATGCCACGCAAGTCTACAGGCCAGAAGGTTGGGTGGGGGTTTGCCAACCACAGACGAGCTCACTCTCCCTGCCTGTTTCATTACATTACGATCAGAGCCGGCTACAGACAATGATCAGCTAGGGGGAAATCAGATTCAACATTCGAAGCCATATTTATAAATTATATAAAATAAATGCAACACATTTTCCACCAACAGGTTTCTGTGCCAATGCACCACACAACCAATAAACAAAGCATACTGACTTTGGGCACTTCAATATCATGGTTTACGTTGTCAACACCACAATAAAGACTGTCAATCTCGACAAACAGAAAATACATCCCTGCCTAGATGATGTGCAGGCATAATCAAAGTGACAATGGGCTACATTTCCATCGAATTGGCCACATGTGAATATTCGCAAATCTTCATTTAGGAAAATTTGGCACCGTACAACATGCCTGGGAAGATTTTAATTTACCGGACATCCATATGCATTCAGATCCGACCTGGCGCAGCCAGCGCCATCAATAAATGAGGGATATTGGACAAATGAGAAAACAGCCTCTAACAAATTATAAAAACACCACTCCTTGTGTTTTGATGTGTAGCATATGCAAAACTTCAATTTATTTTATAAGGCTACTTTCCTAAAACAATAATTGTCCACCTCACAATTCAGCTGTCAGATTTGAGCACTAAATGTATCAGGGCATTGTATGCATAGGCCTAGGTATCTACTGTATGATATATATACAGTGGGGAGAACAAGTATTTGATACACTGCCGATTTTGCAGGTTTTCCTACTTACAAAGCATGTAGAGGTCTGTAATTTTTATCATAGGTACACTTCAACTGTGAGAGACAGAATCTAAAACAAAAATCCAGAAAATCACATTGTATGATTTTTAAGTAATTAATTAGCATTTTATTGCATGACATAAGTATTTGATACATCAGAAAAGCAGAACTTAATATTTGGTACAGAAACCTTTGTTTGCAATTACAGAGATCATACGTTTCCTGTAGGTCTTGACCAGGTTTGCACACACTGCAGCAGGGATTTTGGCCCACTCCTCCATAGACCTTCTGCAGATCCTTCAGGTTTCGGGGCTGTCGCTGGGCAATACGGACTTTCAGCTCCCTCCCAAAGATTTTCAATTGGGTTCAGGTCTGGAGACTGGCTAGGCCACTCCAGGACCTTGAGATGCTTCTTACGGAGCCACTCCTTAGTTGCCCTGGCTGTGTGTTTCGGGTCGTTGTCATGCTGGAAGACCCAGCCACGACCCATCTTCAATGCTCTTACTGAGGGAAGGAGGTTATTGGCCAAGATCTCGCGATACATGGCCCCAACCATCCTCCCCTCAATACGGTGCAGTCGTCCTGTCCCCTTTGCAGAAAAGCATCCCCAAAGAATGATGTTTCCACCTCCATGCTTCATGGTTGGGATGGTGTTCTTGGGGTTGTACTCATCCTTCTTCTTCCTCCAAACACAGCAAGTGGAGTTTAGACCAAAAAAGCTCAATTGTCGTCTCATCAGACCACATGATCTTCTCCCATTCCTCCTCTGGATCATCCAGACGGTCATTGGCAAACTTCAGACGGGCCTGGACATGCGCTGGCTTGAGCAGGGGGACCTTGCGTGCACTGCAGGATTTTAATCCATGACGGCGTAGTGTGTTACTAATGGTTTCCTTTGAGACTGTGGTCCCAGCTCTCTTCAGGTCATTGACCAGGTCCTGCCGTGTAGTTCTGGGCTGATCCCTCACCTTCCGCATGATCATTGATGCCCAACGAGGTGGAATCTTGCATGGAGCCCCAGACCAAGGGTGATTGACCGTCATCTTGAACTTCTTCCATTTTCTAATTATTGTGCCAACAGTTGTTGCCTTCTCACCAAGCTGCTTGCCTATTGTCCTGTAGTCCATCCCAGCCTTGTGCAGGTCTACAATTTTATCCCTGATGTCCTTACACAGCTCTCTGGTCTTGGCCATTGTGGAGAGGTTGGAGTCTGTTTGATTGAGTGTGTGGACAGGTGTATTTTATACAGGTAACGAGTTCAAACAGGTGCAGTTAATACAGGTAATGAGTGGAGAACAGGAGGGCTTCTTAAAGAAAAACTAACAGGTCTGTGAGAGCTGGAATTCTTACTGGTTGGTAGGTGATCAAATACTTATGTCATGCAATAAAATGCAAATTAATTACTTAAAAATCATACAATGTGATTTTCTGGATTTTTGTTTTAGATTCCGTCTCTCAGAGTTGAAGTGTACCTATGATAAAAATTACAGACCTCTACATGCTTTGTAAGTAGGAAAACCTGCAAAATCGGCAGTGTATCAAACACTTGTTCTCCCCACTGTATATCAAATCAAATTTTATTGGCCACATGCGCCGAATACAACAGGTGCAGACATTACAGTGAAATGCTTACATACAGCCCTTAACCAACAGTGCATTTATTTTTAATAAAAAAGTAGAAGAAAAAAAGTGTTGAGAAAAAAAAAGAGCAGAAGTAAAATAAAATAACAGTAGGGAGGTTATATATACACAGGGGGGTACCAGTGCAGAGTCAATGTGCGGGGGCACCGGCTAGTTGAGGTAGTTGAAGTAATATGTACATGTGGGTAGATTTAAAGTGACTATGCATAAATAATTAACAGAGTAGCAGCAGCGTAAAAAGAAGTGGTGGTGTGGGGGGGGGGGGGGGGCAGTACAAATAGTCTGGGTAGGCATGATTAGCTGTTCAGGAGTCTTATGGCTTGGTGGTAGAAGCTGTTGAGAAGTCTTTTGGACCTAGACTTGGCACTACGGTACCGCTTGCCGTGCGGTAGCAGAGAGAACAGTCTATGACTAGGGTGGCTCGAGTCTGACAATTGAGGGCCTTCCTCTGACACTGCCTGGTATAGAGGTCCTGGATGGCAGGAAGCTTTTGCAGTTGCCACACCAGGCGGTGATGCAACCAGTCAGGATGCTCTCGATGGTGCAGCTGTAGAATTTTGAGGATCTGAGGACCAATGCCAAATCTTTTCAGTCTCCTGAGGGGGAATAGGCTTTGTGACCATGATAGTTTGTTGGTGATGTGGACACCAAGGAACTTGAAGCTCTCAACGTGTTCCACTACAGCCCCGTCGATGAGAATGGGGGCGTGCTCAGTCCTCTTTTTTTCCCCTGTAGTCCACAATCATCTCCATATATATATAAATTAATGGAAGAGAAGCTTAGGCCTAACCCCAGAGCGAGAGATATGCCGGTGGCATACTACAACAGACATGCATTTCTTTATGGCAGATGGCTACTGCATCTACAGATAAACGCAAAGGAGGCTTATTTTTTAATTTTCAATCCGATTTAAATACATAAAGATAAGCATTACATTGTTAGATTATATGAGTCACTCTGGTAGGCCTGAAACAGTGTTCCTCACCTCAAGTTCAACTGTTGGAGTCAGTTGGAGCGCACTGCCTTCATATAATAGGCCTGCAGTAGCTAAAGCTTAATAATAGCCACACCATACCTTCAAACTTTATTAAGGTGATATCAAAACTCAAGTTTATAGGGAAGATATGAGCAGAAGAGCAAATGTAAACCAGGTAAAAAAACACACTACAAAAATATTTCAAAAAAGTTCAACTTCCCCCCCCTATTTTGGACCAACCCTCCCCCACAGTAAATGTAAATCTGTCTTTAACGACTCACCTTGTACTGGAGAGTGGCTGGCTCAATCATCTCGAGGGGTCTGCCGTTCACCTTGATGAGGCCATTTCCCCTCTTGCAGTGAGCAACAGCGGTGGCTGTTTTCTGCAAAGAGATAATGTACACTACCATTAGTTAAGTTAAGTTTTCTAACTACATGTGCATTTTTCTATGAAGCAGGGGTGGCTAAACAGATGGTCCATAACGTTAAAACATGTCTGAACCATGTTCACCCCCCCAAAAAAAGGCATTCAGGTGATTGCTTAGCAATAGAACAGTGTATTATATGCAACAATAGTTAGCCAGCCAATGTATTAATCAAACACTCACGTACATCATGAGGGATGAGTGGACCAAGTCATGGCAACTCGCTAACTACAATGATTAGTTAAAGACGCTGACATCAAACAAACACAACTCTAGTTAATGTAGTATTTCCCACATATTTGGCAACTAAATCGGCGAACAAGTTACCTCACTACACTTGACAATTGGCGTTGATATAGCTGGACAACATGCTTTCCGGCATAAAATTAGTTAACTGATTAACGTAGCTAACAGGCCGCAACATTTGTAGCCATTCATATCAATATGCCACTGGCTGCAATCAAGGCACATGTAGATGTTTAACAATAAAGTTGTCACGTGGACGGTCACTTACATTTCCAAATGTAATGGATAATTTGGGAACAAATACATATTTCTGGCCTGGCTGGCTAACATGGCTGAGCTAGCTAACGTCACCTAGCCGGCTAGTGTTAGTTTGTTGGCTCAGCAACACACGTGGAATAAATTCAGATAGTTTACTCACTTTGCGTCCGAAAACCTGGACAGATTGCAGAGGACCTTTGGCTGGCATGTTTCTGAAACAATTAAATCACAAGGATTACCTTCACAAATAATTAATAGATAATATTTTTGCATTTGTAACGGAGCTCACGGGGAACATACCGACTTCAGCTTTAGTGCCGTACGAAGAGACCGAACGGGTTTCAAACACCGAAAATCAGGGGCAGTGGCACGACAGTTTATGGCCTTGCAATGCATTTACGACAATTGCAGGCAGAGAGGAAGACGCGATATTCTGTGTTGCAACTCTCATTTTTTAAATTTTGTTGCAACAAATGTATGACGTATTTTGGTAAATTAAGCAAAATATTTTTTATTTGACATGCGTAATTAATTCTGTTAAAATTATTTCAGACATAATATTAATTATTTGGCCCATGAATTACATTTTGGGGTGCACATTTGTCCTAATACAAATAAGCACATTTAGAATGTATTGGCAATCTGTGAAATATGTGCACCCAAAAATTTAATTAATGGCCCAAATTATTTACATTATGTCTGAATTAATTAAACATGGTCTGTGAAATAAATAAAAAAACTATATAAATACGGTCTATGACTGAACAGGTCACTACGAACACGTTTTTCACAGAGGATGAAACAAAGAAACTGTCTTTGGTTTCCAACTTTCCACACCACAAAGGGTTTCCCAAAAGTTCATCCTTAGAACCTTTGTAGGAGCATCGTTAAATCTCCGATCTGCTTCCCAAAAACATAGTTATTAACACTGCACTTGAAAACGCTCCTAATCTAACACCAGGCACAGACCACTTGTAGAACAGGTAAGTGCATACTTAGATGCTTTTTTGGGCCTAAAAATAGAATGACATGATTGATCTGGCTCTCTGTGACCGCCGATAACTTCAGAACAAAGTTGCCTACAAATGCAAAGTTGCCAATGTCTTTGCAACTGATACAAACAAGCAACGTTATGTAAAAAAGAAATGCTTCAAATGAACAGTAGGCTTTAAACCAGTGTACTATCTGAATTTCGAGATACTAAGTCAACATCTCGAGATACTAACTCGAAATTTTGAGAAAGTAGAACATACATATAGGATATCTTCATTTGTAGCAATTTGTGCAATATCCATAAAGCCATGTTGCAGAGATTAGCACAGTTTGGCAGCCTGCAAACGTCGTGTGGTGAGCTAGCATTTGCCCCAACACTTTTGATTCGGTTTAATGTGCTTCTTCTTGAGCCACTCCTTTGTTGCCTTGGCCGTGTGTTTTGGGTCATTGTCATGCTTGAATACCCATCCACGACCCATTTTCAATGCCCTGGCTGAGGGAAGGAGGTTCTCACCAAAGATTTGACGGTACATGGCCCCGTCCAGAGCTCTTTGGTCTTGGCCATGGTGGAGAGTTTGGAATCTGTCGTAGCCGGCCGCGACCGGGAGACCCATGGGGTGGCGCACAATTGGCCCAGCGTCATCCAGGGTAGGGGAGGGAATGGCCGGCAGGGGATGTAGCTCAGGGTTGTGGGTTCGATAAAATAATGTATGCGCTAACTGTAAGTCGCTCTGGATAAGAGCGTCTGCTAAATGACTTAAATGTAATGTAAATGAATCTGATTGATTGATTGCTTCTGTGGACAGGTGTCTTTTATACAGGTAACAAGCTGAGATTAGGAGCACTCCCTCCTGATCTCAGCTCGTTACCTGTATAAAAGACACCTGGGAGCCAGAAATCTTTCTGATTGAGAGGGGGTCAAATACTTATTTCCCTCATGAAAATGCAAATCAATTTATAACATTTTTGACATGCGTTTTTCTGGATTTTGTTGTTGTTATTCTGTCTCTCACTGTTCAAATAAACCTACCATTAAAATTAGACTGATCATGTCTTTGTCAGTGGGCAAACGTACAAAATCAGCAGGGGATCAAATACTTTTTCCCTCACTGTAGGTATCTAAAAAATATTGACTTATGTATCTCGAAATTTCGACATACTTAAAAAAAAATTCGGCCGGGAATGGACTTCCATATTCCTAGTTGATCACCAAACATTTCTGTATAAAAACAACAATGTCAAAGTCAGTACAGTATTAAGATAGGCAGAAACTGCTTCTCCAATAGAAATCCCCGATCACGCTTGTAGGTGATGTCATGGCAATGTTGGCTAGCTAAGCACCAAGCTAATGCGCAGAAACACGTCATCGGGTCTAGCGTTTGTCTCGCGCCGAATTGCGCATGTGCAGGCCGTCAAATCAAAGGCACTCCTTCAATATAAAGTAGTTTTTGAAGAAAATGAAAACGTGTCAGTTTGACACTTGCAGGAGGTTGGAGTAATAACATGTTCAACTACTTCAGACATTGGCTCGAATCTAGGTTGTGTCTTTAGATTTCGACAAAATTAACAACTAAGGAAGAATTTTTAACTTCTCTCATTGACTTCTCTAACCCAAAACCCCAGCCTGGTCTGCTTCACAAGCGTTCCCAGAAGTCTAGCGATGCTCTGGGTTTAGAAACTCTGTGGTAAAGCCTTGCGTTCCTATGTTATTTTAGTTTGTTTTGTGATGTTGGCGGTAGGTGCACTAGATTCTGTGGCCCTGTCCCCGGGAAGGCAAAAGTGTTCCCATTTTGAACCATTTCATGTGTCTGAAGGTAGAACTCCGCCTACCTGGCAAGACCAGAGAGCAAATCAAATGCACCTATATGCCTAACGCTGGCCAATCAGATAGATCAGATCACTGTGTCTGCGCAGTTTCTTCGAGCCAAAGACTGTAAAAAGAAGCCTCGAATGCACAGCAAAGTTGATACTTTATTTTAAAAACGGTTAAAACCATGACGAGAGAGACTCAAAGAATAGAGCAAAGAGCTGCTGTTTTTATGAGTAAGTTCATGTTTAAGTTATTGAGCACTGCTAACACTGTTCAAGACTTTTTTATGAGCCATAAAATGCCTGTTCTATATCGTGGAGCTCCGCCCCATAAGGGAGCTCTGCTCCTAGTGGTTTACCCTCTGCCCTACGGCAGAAACAGCCTGAAGCAAAATTATGCACACACCTGTCAGCCAATGGGAGCACAGGTGCCCCTATATAAAGGGACCCGTTCCCTCAATCTGCCTCCCATTATCTTCAGCGACTGGACTAGAATTGAAGAAGCCATAGAAGACTCAGGAAGATCTCGTCGTTGATATCCAGCCATCAACGTCTTCCAGCATGAGCACACCAGGGAAATTCCCACCCCCAAAAGCCCTTTTTAGGGCTCTATGTCGATGCACCGACATGGCAGCTACGGACCCCCACGACCTTTGTTTCGTGTGCTTGGGACCGCAGCATGCTAAGGACGGTCTCGGCAACCCTCCTAACTGCGCCTCCTGCGCCCTCCTTCCTATGAAGGAGAGGAAGCAGCGTTGGGCGTTCTTTAGAGAGGACGTCCCTCTAGAGGATGTATTGTCCACTCTCGCCTCTGCTTCAGAGGCGTCGACGGACAGTGCTGGCTCAGAGGACGACAAGGAGGGCGCAGAGATGGATATCCCAGTGGGACAATCCGGAGCTCTGGCGCCAGCTTTCAAGACCCCCTTTCCCTTGGAGAGCGCGAGGTCTGAAGGTTCCTTATACGATGACGACATGGGCTCTGTGAGATCAGAAGCCCTGTCCTTCGCGGCAGCCTCTCTGCGTTCGGACTTTCCCGAACTCATTGAGAAGGCGGCTAATCGACTGGAGATAGCGCTGCCCCCAGCTCCCCTTCCTGTGGAAGTGGACCTGATGGAAGGCGGCCCCTACTCCAAGCCAAGGAGGGCGGCTGAGCCTATGGCTCCAGCCATGCCTTCCCTTGGCAAATATGTCGAGGGCTCGTGGGGTTCACCTCTGGCGGCGCGTTCGCCGGCCAGAGCGTATATCCCATTCACCAGAGTGGCCGGTAATGAGTGGGCGGCTAAGGGAATCCCTAGGCTCGAAGGCGCCATGGCGGCGTACTTAGTGCCAGGTTCGAGTCCCTGGGCAGCCTCCAAGAAGGCCACCCTGCCAGCACAAAAGGACAGGCTCACAGCACAGCTGGCTGAGAAGTCCTTCACGCTGGGAGCCCAGGGCGTGTCAGCGGCGAATAACATCGCCCTCCTCGCGGCCTCCCTATCCCGTCTCACAACGGGTAGGTCTGAGTTGACCGGCGAGGAAATCGAGGAGGCGTCCAGGATTTCCGGGGCCATCCTCCATCTGACGCAAGCTGTGGCAATTGCGCAGGCAGGACCATGGCCACCTCGGTGGTCACAGAGCGTCACCTGTGGCTGTCCATGACGGCCATGAAGGAGACCGACAGAGCCTCCTTGCTCAACGCTCCCGTCTCCAGCGAGGGCCTATTTGGGGTCGCTGTGAAAGACGCAACAGAGCGTATCGCCAAATTGGATGAGGAGAGGAAGCACCTGGCCAAACATCTGCCATTGGCAATGGAGGCCAGCAGAGCCCCAGCTACTCCGTCCACCTCCAACGCCCCCAGTAGAGCTACAGGGAGGCGACGGGCCAGGCGACAGGCGTCCACCACAGGCAGCAAGAGAGCGGGTTCGGCCCCTCCAGCAGCGACAGTTGCAGCGACGGGGGTCGCCGGCGAGGGAGGTCGTCGTCAAGCCGGCCTGGCAGCACCAGAAGGTCTCCCAAAAGAGGCGGCACCAATGACGAGGCGAGGGGGAGAGGACGGAAGACGGCTCGGCGCAAGACGCAATTGAGCCTACTGTTCCCCCCCCACCCCACTGTTCAGGGCGTGGAGGGTGTGTTTTCTGATTATGTGAATAAAGAGCTGGTTCTCACTGACATTGTCAAAGAAGGACATTTATTCCATAACGTACTACAGAACACTTCACGTTCTATGGTTTTCCCTCACCATCCTGAGTGTAGCTCAACCCACCAAGAGTGCGTAGTTGAGCGCATTCAGGAGAGGAAAAGGGAAAAGGTAGCAAGGCGCAGCCTTAGCTCACTTAATAAAGATATTTTACTACAGACTCCTAGGAGTTCTGTAGTAAAGGTCTCACACAGCAGGCAGCTGTCTCTGTCCCAATGTGACATGAAGACGCAGC